ATCCCCTGCTCCAAATTCGCCGACCCAGCGGGCCAGAGGCGTACACAGAAGCGCCCGGGGAGCTGTGTGGCCCCTGCCTCTCCGGCACCCAAGATGGCCCAGGGTTGCCTGAAAGACGGCCCAACGAGGGCCCAAGATGGCTCCCGTAGTTCGCCGAATATGTCTCCGATATACCCTAGGATAGACTCAGGACTCACCGGGACGACCTCGACATGGCCGAAGACTTACGGCACCGGGCCCCCAAGATCTGCGCCTCCCCACGGGGCCTGCGTGCACCACAGCAGCCTGCGTGCATCACAACGCCTGTGTACGCCACAGCGCCTGCGTGCACCGCAACAGACGCGTACAACACAGCGCCGGTTGCATGTGCACACCACAGCGCCTGCGTGCACCACAGCGCCTGGGTACACCACGGTGCCTTTGTACACCACAGCAGCCGTGTGCATCACAGCCGAGGTGTGCACCACAATGCCTGCGTGCACCACAACGCCTGCGGACACTTCGGCGCCAGTGCACAAGCAGCCATAGAAAAAACGCACGAACACCTAAATCTTCCTCTTCCTCCACCCTCCTCCCCCCATGTCCGCCTCTGTTCTTGTTGGAACAGCAGCACGAAGGACGTTGAATGTCGCGGAGCCAATTAAAACCTTACACACGTCGAATACATGTCTCGGAAACGATTTTTGTTTCCCCCAGGGGGCGGGCCCAAGAAGGAGAAATGTCAACGAACCGAATATGATTGCAAAGAAAAACAATACATTTCGAACACTCGTTGCGCATGTGAGTGCACGCGCCGAACGTCCAGCGACTGGAAAGCCACGCGCCAGGTTTATCCCAGCTTCGGCTGGCAGCCGTGAAAATCCACGAGCTTTCTTTTTTCCCTAAGGTCTATAATTCGTGGAAGGCGGCTCGACTCGTCGTCCGCGCGCGGCCGTTCAGCGGCTACGTCGGTGCATCGATGATGATGATGGTGGTAATGAGGATGATGATTATGATGATGATGATGATGATGATGATGATGATGATGATGATGATGATGACGCGCACACGACCGCCCCAAGACGGTTCCAAGTGGCCAAGGAGCCTCCCGACAGGGGTGTAAATATTATCCCAGGACTCCGGGCTACATGGACCCCATGTGTGTCTGGAGTCTGTCAGAGCTCCTTTTTTGGCCAAAGGTGGTTCCAAGAGGGCCTTAGAGAGGCCACGATGGCATCCAATATCGTTCAAGTGGCCAAGGCGCCTCCCGACAGGGGTGTAAATATTATCCCAGGACTCCATGCTACATGGACCCCTTGTGTGTCTTGAGTCTGTCAGAGCTCCTTTTTTGGCCAAAGGTGGTTCCAAGAGGACCTTAGAGAGGCCACGATGGCCTCCAAGATTGTTGAAGTGGCCAAGGAGCCTCCCGACAGGGGTGTAAATATTATCCCAGAACTCCGGGCTACATGGACCCCTTGTGTATCTTGAGTCTGTCAGAGCTCCTTTTTTGGCCAAAGGTGGTTCCAAGAGGGCATTAGAGAGGCCGCGATGGCCTCCAAGATCGTTCAAGTGGCCAAGGAGACCTCCCGACAGGGGTGTAAATATTATCCCAGGACTCCGGGCTACATGGACCCCTGGTGTGTCTTGAGTCTGTCAGAGCTCCTTGTTTGGCCAAAGGTGGTTCGAAGAGGGCCTTAGAGAGGCCACGATGGCCTCCAAGATCGTTGAAGTGGCCAAGGAGCCTCCCGACAGGGGTGTAAATATTATCCCAGGACTCCGGGCTACATGGACCCCTTGTGTGTCTTGAGTCTGTCAGAGCTCCTTTTTTGGCCAAAGGTGGTTCCAAGAGGGCCTTAGAGAGGCCACGATGGCCTCCAAGATCGTTCAAGTGGCCAAGGAGCCTCCCGACAGGGGTGTAAATATTATCCCAGGACTCCGGGCTACATGGACCCCTTGTGTGTCTTGAGTCTGTCAGAGCTCCTTTTTTGGCCAAAGGTGGTTCCAAGAGGGCCTCAGGGAAGCCACGATGGCCTCCAAGATCGTTCAAGTGGCCAAGGAGCCTCCCGACAGGGGTGTAAATATTATCCCAGGACTCCGGGCTACATGGACCCCATGTGTGTCTGGAGTCTGTCAGAGCTCCTTTTTTGGCCAAAGGTGGTTCCAAGAGGGCCTTAGAGAGGCCACGATGGCATCCAATATCGTTCAAGTGGCCAAGGCGCCTCCCGACAGGGGTGTAAATATTATCCCAGGACTCCGGGCTACATGGACCCCTTGTGTGTCTTGAGTCTGTCAGAGCTCCTTTTTTGGCCAAAGGTGGTTCCAAGAGGGCCTTAGAGAGGCCACGATGGCCTCCAAGATTGTTCAAGTGGCCAAGGAGCCTCCCGACAGGGGTGTAAATATTATCCCAGGACTCCGGGCTACATGGACCCCTTGTGTGTCTTGAGTCTGTCAGAGCTCCTTTTTTGGCCAAAGGTGGTTCCAAGAGGGCATTAGAGAGGCCACGATGGCCTCCAAGATCGTTCAAGTGGCCAAGGAGACCTCCCGACAGGGGTGTAAATATTATCCCAGGACTCCGGGCTACATGGACCCCTGGTGTGTCTTGAGTCTGTCAGAGCTCCTTTTTTGGCCCAAAGGTGGTTCCCAAGGGGCCTTAGAGAGACGATCCACGATGGCCTCCAAGATCGTTCAAGTGGCCAAAGAGCCTCCCGACAGGGGTGTAAATATTATCCCAGGACTCCGGGCTACATGGACCCCTTGTGTGTCTTGAGTCTGTCAGAGCTCCTTTTTTGGCCAAAGGTGGTTCCAAGAGGGCCTTAGAGAAGCCACGATGGCCTCCAAGATCGTTCAAGTGGCCAAGGAGCCTCCCGACAGGGGTGTAAATATTATCCCAGGACTCCGGGCTACATGGACCCCTTGTGTGTCTTGAGTCTGTCAGAGCTCCTTTTTTGGCCAAAGGTGGTTCCAAGAGGGCCTTAGAGAGGCCGCGACCGCCCCAAGACGGTTCCAAGTGGCCAAGGAGCCTCCCGACAGGGGTGTAAATATTATCCCGGGACTCCGGGCTACATGGACCCCGTGTGTGTCTTGAGTCTTGAAACTTGAGCCAAACTAAAGCTAAAGCGCTCCAAAACCTCCTCCTCCTCCTCCTCCTCCTCCTCCTCCTCCTCTCCTCCTCATCAAACTTTTCCCCGTCCTCTTTCTCGTCGTCGTCGTCGCTGTGGTGCACGCAGGCTGCTGTGGTGTACAGGCGCTGCGGTGTACACAGGCGCTGTGGTGCACGCAGGCACTGTGGTGTACACAGGCGCTGTGGTGCAGATCGCCACCTTCACGCTGCCCCTACCTGTCCTCGGTCATCCCTAGGCATTCCCAGACGCCGCGGGCGCCGAACGTGACGCTACCGGCCCCCCGCCCCCCCCCCCCGGTAACGCCCGTTATCGCCGGGGAATAAAAAAACGGGCTCTTGGGACGCCGGTGTGCGTCGGGAAACTGAAAAGCGAAAATTCCAAAATCCTTCGAAAAACTTCGGAGAAGCAATGATTCTGCCTCGTCGGGCCTTCTTTGGAGACCTCTTCGGGCGTCCGGGCTGCCCGTTCCAGACTTCTAGAGGCCTCTTGGGGGCCTCTCGAGTCCGATCGCACCACGACGTCATCGTGTGCCCAGATGCCTCCAGACGCCCAGGCACCCGCAAGCTTCAATCCTCGAGCCCCGATACTGGACCTGTGCTTACTGTCCTCGGGCCGACTGGGAGGAGGAGGAGGAGAAGGAGGAGGAGGAGGAGGGGGAGGAGGAGGGGGAGGAGAGAGAGGAGGAGGAGGGGGAGGGGGAGGAGGCGGAGGAGGGGGAGGAGGAGGCGGAGTAGGGCTTCAGGGCTTGAGGGCTGATGACATCTGGCTCCGTGCACGCGCGGGGACAGAAGCCGATGCGGAGGACGAGACAGTGCGCAGGGAAGTTGCAGTGGACCTGCCACCGCCGACCCTCTTCGAGGCAGCTGGAGCTGCCGCTGCACAACCTTTCGGCCAGAGCAGAACCGTTCGCCCTTTGGCTTGCCTCGGCTGCGACACGTCCCACGACCCTGCCCGGAGTCCAAACGTACCAGTTCTCCAAGCTGCGTCCAGCCGTGGCGACGAGGGGGCCACTCGAAAGTCCCAAAAGCCCCGCCCCGTGCATCGGTTTCAGGGCAATGCCTCGGGCTTCCGGCGGCCGACCGGGACGATTCCGGCACACACAGGACGCAGTTTTTCAGCCCGGATCGATTTTTAAAAATCAACAATTCGGGCCTCCCGGGCCTCTCTTGGGAGGCTTCTTTGGGGCCTCTGGGCCGCAGTTTGGAGGCCTCATGGGGAGCCGGTTTGGGGCCCATTGGGGTCTTTTGGGAGCCTCTTGGGGGCCTCCTTGGGGCTTCTTGGAGGCCTCTTGGGGCCTCTTGGGGCCCTCTGGGGGTCTCCTGGGGCCCTCTCGGGGCGGTAAATTAGATGTTTGAACCTTCGGTCGCCCTCTCGGGCCCCTCTTGGGGCCTTCTCGGGGCCGTGTTGGGATCTCTTGGGCGCCTCTTGGGCTGTCTTGGGGCCCTCCAGAGCTGTCTTGGGGCCGTCTTGGGGCCGTATTGGGGGCGTCCCGGGCCATCTTTGGGCGCTCTTGAGGGCCTCTGGAGCTGTCTTGGAGCGTCGGAAAGCTGGAAGAGCGAGAACGCAAAAAAACATCGAAAAACACACAGAAAATCAACAATTTTGGCTTCCCCGGGCTCTCTTGGTAGGCTTCTTTGGGGCCTCTTGGGGCGTCTTGGGGCCATCTTGTGCTGTCTTGGGGCTGTCTTGGGCGGTCTTGGGGGCCTCTGGCGCAGTCTTGGGGCCACCTTTAGCGTCTTGGAGCCCTCTGGGCCTGTGTTGGAACGCTCTTCGGGCACTCTGGGGCTGTCTTGGCTGCTCCGGGGAGGCTCCAGGCCCCCCCCGTCCTCCCATGGGGGGTCGGGGCACCTGTTTTCAGGCCGCGGGTCAGCCCCGCGGGGATATATATATGTATATATCCCCCTCTTCCCTCTGCCTCATCCTGCCACCCCGCGCGTCATCCATCTCCTCCGCTCCATCGACGTCCTCTTCCGATGTCTCAATCATGAACGCAATCATCCCTGTGCGAGTTCCCACTCCGCTCCTGCGCGCACTCCGCCGCGCTCTCGCGCGCGGCGCCCAACGCCGAGATGGCCGCCCCCATGAGATGATCAGCTGGATCGTGGGGCTCGAGGTGGATGCCCTTGTCGCTGCCCTCGCCCTCGCCCTTGCCGAGCTCGCCCTTGCCGTTGCCGTCGTCCTCGCCGCAGCCGTTGCCCTTGCCGTCGTCCTTGCCGCCGTCGTTGCCGCGGCCGTCGACCTTGCCGAGCTCGCCCGCGCCGTTGCCGTCGTCCGTGCCGGAGCCGCTGCCCTTGCCGAGCTCGCCCTTGCCGTTGTCCTTGCCGCGGCCGCTGCCCCTGCCAAGCTCGCCCTTGCCGTTGTCCTTGCCCTTGCCGAGCTCGCCGTCGCCAGGGGAATCTCCGCGGCACTCGACTCGCCGCGCGGGCGCACGAACCGCAACCGAATAAACTTGAGCCACAATCTTCGACGCGAGAACGAGAATCCCGGCTGGGGCCCGGAACGCGCCTGGAATGAACCAGGGGGGCCAGGGCCGGAGGTGGGGCGACGAAGAGACCGCCCGACCTCCTTCGCAGACCACCTCGATTCGGAATCATTTGCGCGATGGTTTTCATGTAAAACAAAAAACGCCAGAGATACCACCAGGGAGTGCAAAGGCGAGACCACCCAAACAAGTCAAGCAAACCACCCCAAAAGTTAAGCAGGCCCCCCAAAAAGTAACGGAGACCCCCAAAAAGTATAGGAGGCCACCCGGGAAAGCAAGGGAGACCACCCCGAAAAATAAAACAGACCACCCAAAAACTAAAGCAGACCGCCCAAAAAGTAAATGGGGGCCCCCAAAAAAGTAAAGGAGACAGGAAAGCAAAGGAGAGCACCCAAAAGGCACGACAGACCACCCAAACAGCAAAGGAGACCCCCCGCTTTGACAAGAATTTCGAGGCGAATCCAGCGGCGGCGACGAGGGCAACCCAAGAGCCCCAAGAAGGGCAAAACGAGGGAAGGGTAGCGGTATGGGTACCTTTTCCCCCTCCGATACCCCTCCCTCTCTTCCCCCTCCTCTTCCTCCTCTCCTCTCCCTCCTCCCCCTCCTCCTCCAACCCCTCCCCTTCTCTGATCAGCTGCGCGCTGAGCCAGGGGCCCTCCCTGGTGCGCTGCTGCACGCACCCCAGCAGCTCGGAGCACAGCACGTCCACCTCCGAGGGCTCCTCGCGGTGGCCCCTGACCCCGAGTCGCTCAGTCCCGACGCCGAAACTGTCAAAACCTTCCGCCGTGATTGCGTCACGACGCGAAGAAGGCAGGGCCCCGGGAATCACAGAAAGAAGCCGCCAAGCCCCACCTGGGTTGCATGCTGGCCAGGATGTCGAAGGGAATCCAGCCGTAGTGACGAGGAGGTCCCCCCCCCGAGGCCCAAAAAGGGCGAACGACGCCCAAAACTTCCAACCTTTCGAGGAAGCAAGCACGACATAAATATAAACTTTTGGCGCTCCGCGCGGGTCTCTTGGATCTGCGATGGACCCCCCTCTCTGTCGCGCGGAGCGCGCCAGGGGCGGCACCGGAGGCGCCGCCAGGGGGCCCCAGCGCAGATCCAAGAGATCCGCGCGGATCTCCGAAAACTTTTACGTGTATAGCGTTTCTCCTCCTTCGAACCTTTGCAGGGGCAATGGGACATGAAAATAAATAGATACAAATAACAAGATCCCCCATATTTTCCCATATCGTCTGGATTTTCGTCTTCCCCCCCACTTCCCATATTTTCCTATATTTTCCAGGGAATCGACGATTAATTGTGTCTGTGATTTTCCCCTCCTAAACCTTGGTGTCTTGCGCCAGCCTGGTGCCCAGTGGTCAGACATCGACCCCCGCATCATCCTGTGGTGCGTTTTGGCCGGCCTCTCCGAAGGGGAGTCCAGCCGTGCCGACGAGGAGCCCCCCTGAAGCTCCCCAGACTGCGAAGAACGCAGCAGATCTCTAACACTCGTGTGTTCCTTCCCGCCTCTCTGACAACCTGTGCTTCTGTTCAGTCCGCGGCCACATGAAGGTCTCGAGCCCTTCCCTGGGGGTCACTTGCTCGTTCCGGGCCCGTCGCAGATGACCCCCAGGGCCCGATAACGGGCCCTGGATGTCGACGTTGACGACATCCTCCAGAACCGAACAACAAAACCAACAACATCGTCTCGGATCTTGGCATGTTGGGGGTCCCGAAACAGTTCGGTGACAGGCCGTGCAGTGACCTCGGACCCGCACAAGACTTCGTTGCACGGCCCATCACCGCCACCGCACGGTTTTGGGACGGAGTGGTCACCGCACGATCTCTCGCTGGTGTGGTCACTACACGCTGTGGTCTCCGCACGTTTGGGGGCTGCCGAGCACGGTGTCCTTGGGCTCCCTCGCTGGCACCGCCGCGGACGCCGACGCCCCCCCCGAAGCGGAGTAGGGCGCTGGCGCCCCTGCCGGCCAGGGCGTCGGCGCCGGCCGCGAGGCAGGGTAGCCTGCGGGCTGAGAGGCGTGGCGGGAGGAGGAGGAGGAGGAGGAGGAGGAGGAAGAGGAGGAGGAGGACGAGGAGGAGGAGGAGGAGAAGGAGGAGGAGGAGGAGCATGGATGATGATGATGATGATGATGATGATGATGAGGAGGAGGAGGAGGAGGAGGAGGAGGAGGAGGAGGAGGAGGAGGTTCGGGCCGCACTGGCACGGAGTCGACACCGGATCGGATCGGCCGAGGCGCCCTGCGAGCACCGGGCCGCATCGGATCGTGGGGAAGCGAGAACCTAAACGCATCGGGCCGGCGGAAACCAGGGTCGAATCGGATCGACCTGATCGACGCGGACCGTGCCTGTGCCGACAGTTTGCTGCCCCGCGCGCTGGTGCGGTGGAGCCGGCATCGGCGCTCTGTCCCGTCGGGAGGCGGCTGCTCGCTCTCTCGGAGCAGCTGCCGACGACGGGCACTCGTGGAGGCAAGCGTGCTGGCTCACTGGCGCCAGGCAGGTGCCGCAGAAGCAGGACAGGCCGGAGCGAGCGAGCGAGCGCGCGATGACGGTCCAGCGGGACCGGCCATAGGAGGGCGGCGCGGGGGGGCCGGAGCCCTCAGTAGTCGGCCTGGGACTGGCGGTCGATCTGGATGAAAGTAGTGTGAAACGTAAAATTGTTGGACGTCTGGTATATTCTGGAGTCCAATTGGTGGACATGAAAGTGATAGGTCGGATAGATGGGAATGGAAGTGGAAAGTCGGATGCTGGAGGTCGATAGGTGGAGTTGGAGATGAAAAGTCGGATGCTGGTGGCTGGAGGTCGGAGTGCTGAGATGGTGGTCGCCGGAAGTCGATAGGTGGAGGTGGAGGTGGAAAGTCGGATGCTGGTGGCTGGAGGTCGGAGTGCTGAGATGGTGGACGCTGGAGGTCGATTGGTGGAGGTGGAGGTGGAACGTCGGATGCTGGAGGCCGGAGGTCGGAGTGTTGAACTTGTGGACGCTGGAGGTCGATAGGTGGAGGTGGAGATTTCCGAGATTTCCCCCCAGGACGACGTCCCCTCCTTTCCTGCCTGCGGGCCAGCAGGGGCGGCGGCGGCCGCGGGCCTCCTCACGGCCTCTCAGGCCTCGCCGCAGGCCTCCTTGGAGCCGCAGGTCACCACGTCCAGGATGAAGTTGCGCTTCATCATGGCCTTGTCCATGTACGAGGGCTCGTTGCCGTCGCACTTGTCGTGAACATCCCAATGCTGGTACGTCGGTCACAGTGCTGTCGTCGTGCGCGCGGTGCTGAGCATTCGGTGCTAGTAGCGTCAGACTGTGCTGCGTAGTGCTAGTTCGTGCTCGGTGCCGTCGTAGCCCTTGCACTACTTGAAGATGCTGGAGTCGTCGTAGCTGTGTTCGTTGGTTGTTCGTTGGCGTGCTTCCTTCTTGCCCTTGCCACATAATCGGCTCTTGACTTAGGTGGGGGTGGTGTACACTCCTGTCCAAGCTTCTCCGATATGTAGTGCTTCGCCACACTGCCGCACTTGTAGCACCAGTGTTGCGGACCGGTGCAGCGAGCAGTGCAGCGAGTGGTCCAGCCTGCTCTGCCCGCAGACAATCGGGCACTGCCTGCCATCAAAGCGCTCGACCCCTGGAGGCGCCACGGCACCGCAGGGGAAGAGATCCAGCAGGTACGCGGCGACCTGGTCGAGGCTCTCGTCGGCCAGGTCCTGCCGCACCGCCCGATAGGTGGAGGTGGAGGTGGAAAGTCGGATGATGGAGGCTGGAGGTCGGAGTGCTGAGCTGGTGGACGCTGGAGGAGGACAGGCCGGAGGAGGAAGGGGAGGATGTGCAAGGAGGAGTCGGCGTCGAGGGAGCAGGGGCGCCGAATTGGCAACATTTGAGCAGGGGCCGACAATCAGGGTATTCCTATAGGCCTGCCACGACAGGCTCTTAGAACAAAACATGCTCGCAAAAACCAGCAAAGGCAATTATATTAGAACGTGGAACCAATTAGTTAAAACAAGACTGCCTCAGCAAGAAATGTTCTAAGAGCATTTCGTGCAAACCACAAGAAGTTCCTAGAAGCTCGTTGGTGGGCCTATGGCGACGCTTCGCCACTGCTTGATACATGTATTGGCAGCCCCTCTGGGTCAGGGACAGGACGGCCGCCGACCACCGCTGCCAAGAGAGGGTCGAACTCTGGCTGGCGTCAAACTGCACAGGCAGGAAGCAAGCGACGGGCGCCGCAGCTGATGGCCGCGGCCACTTGCCCCAGGAAGGGCCATCCGACGGCCCCCCAGCGGAACCGACGCAGCGCGTCAGGACCGTCCACCGGGGGGACCCCGCCGGGGGAGGGCTTGCTGCTGCTGCTTCTGGGACGGCCGAGGAAGTATAGCCGCACCCTCCCTGGACGAGCAGGCGACCAGAGCTCGGCGCAGCGCCAGCCGGGACTGGAGTGGGACTGTCGCTCCCGCCCTGCCCCGACAACCCGGAGGGCAGCCCGCACCAGCCAAGGAGCGCGAAGACGGGCGACGAGCACCGCCTCGGCTTCGGTCCCTCCAGCCGGCCAACCGTCACGCAGCAGCACACCGGCATCGCGCCCGACATGCGGGCAGGCCACGACGGAATGGCCAGCGGCGACGGCGGCGCGCGCCCCGCATGCTGGCATAGTCTAGCTGACAGATCCCTGCCTCGGAGCAACGGCCTCCGAGAGGCTGCTCAAATATTGACAGCACAATGCCGTCGCGTTTTTGTTTGGATGCTTCGAGCTGCGGCGAGGCCAGTGGCCCCCCTGGGACGCAGAAGAACATACTAGTACTATGCGCAATCCTCGGAGGCGCACGTCTAAACCGAACATATAGTACAAGCATATACAACATGTGGTTGCCCAAGCGGTCGCGGTGTGGCCAGAAAGCGCCCGCCACCGAACACATACTACACAAGCTCTGTGCGCGCGGGCAGCCCCTGGGGAGGGGGAGGGGGGGGGTCGACGCACACATAGCCTGAGTACGTCTATGCGATGCCGACCCAGATGGGATCCGAGCAGATGAGTCGGGGGATCGCGCCGCATCGCCATTGCATCGCCGATGCATCGACAACGCTGGCGATGCATCGGCGCCATCGACGTGGAGAGATTCTGGCTCCACATCGAGCCGCATCGTCGATGCATCGGCGATGTGGCGCGATCCTCCGACCCCGTCTACTCAGATCCCATCTGGGAGGCCTGGAATTAAGACGCCCCAGATCGTTGAGCAGGGACCGATCGTCCCAACATTCCCATAGGTCTACCACGACATGTTCCTATAACACAAGAATGCTCGGATGACAAAACCAATGCTCCCAGTGAGCCAAGCCAAGACTGCCTGAGCCAGAACAGTGCGAAGGACATGCCGCGCAAACCGCAACAGGTCCTCAGAACCTTCTCTGGTGGGCCCATCGGCAAGTCGGCACGCTTCGCCACTGCATGCCCGAGATGTGAAGCGAGGCCGACGGCCCCCACGCCCGCGGGCAGGGCGGCCTCCGTCGTAGCCGGCCTGCGCGCCGCCCGACATCGCGGCCGGCGGCCCTCCGGCCGGGTCCGGCCCGCGCGCCGCGCGGGGGTCACGCTTCGAGAAAGAGGATGGCGGCCACCGCGTGCCCAGACCTCCGACGATGTGCCGCTTCCAATCGCGGCGCCTAGTCTTAGGTCGGGCATGTCGCCCTATAGGCGGATCCTGGGCGAAAAATGAAAAATACTCAAAAAATAATACCCCAAGATGGCCACCAAATACTCAAAACATCTTCCCATGAGCATTTTTTGTCTATTTTTGAATTTTCCTCCTGTAGAGGGACAGGCCCGACTTAAGCCTAGTCCTTCGTTTCGGCCACCCGGGGGATGGAAAACCGACTCGAGCGAGCTGGCCCGAAGGCGCTTCGCAGCGCACCCACAGCTGACGCCGAAGCCAACGCGAAGTGCGCAGAAGAATGGAGTGGGCCCGCCCTCAAAGTTTGATTGACAGTACACCAGTGAGCGCTGCTGCAGCCTCCCCTGAACCCCGCGCCACTCTCGGGCCCCGGGCCCCTGTCGGGCCCCTCTCGGGCCCCAGAGAGAAGAAACGGGCCTTCCGCGAGACGGCGCGACGACCTTGCGCCGCGGCTTACGCGGGCCGCCCGCGCGGGTCGCATGCAGTGGAAGCGGAGGCGCTCTCGCGCGACCTCCGGTGGGCAGCTCCCGCGCCAATGTCGGCGCAGTCTCCACCCTGCTCTTCCGTGCCGCGCCTGCGGTGCTGCCCGCCGCGGCGCCGGGTGCTCCGCTGCGGCCAGCCCCGGGGCGCGGAGCGACTCGCGGAGGCACTGCGCCCCCGGCGTGCCCAGAACTCCGACGACCTGCTGCCTCCAGCCACGGCGCGCGCCCCCCGGCCCGGCAACTCGGGGAGGGCCACTCTCGGGCCGCCGGGCCGCGAGGTCGAGGGATGCGGGGCGCAGAGCTGCCCTCGGGTCGGGCATGTCCTGCTGCAGACGGATCTTCGAGGAAAGAGAAGCACTAGGCAACAAATGTACAAGCATATCCCACAACACTCAAGAAGAAAGACGTCCCCAGACTATTTTCTAGACTATCTTCTAATATTCCTCCTGTAGAAAGACATGTCCGACGTAAAACTACCCCCCCCGGGGGAAAGGGTCGGGAGCTTGGGGGGCCCGGCCGCGGATTGAAAACGTCACACACCGAGGATGGCTGGGCACGGAACACGAGCTCCAAGCGGGGCAACAAACCACGGCCACGACGAAGCCGACGACGACGGAGACGGTCGTGATCCACACCGAAGCACGACTTTCGGAAAGAGCCCATCCTGCGAGGTCTAGTCCGGAGCACATCTGGAGGAGGAAGATGAGGAGGAATCAGAAAGAAAGACGGGGAGTCCGACTGGTAGGACCTCCCGTCGTTCGGTGGTCCCCCACTTCTCTCCTCTTGCCTACTTGCTGTCCTTCGTGTTCTTCCCCTCCCCCTGGCTGTTGGCCAGGGGCCAGGGCTGAGGGGTGCGAGGGTCCCAGTCTTCATTGACACACCGATCCACAGCGACAGCGACAAAGCGAGGAACCAAATCCATCTCCAGGGCCTCGCGCACAGGACCCGTCAGCGGCGCCCCCATGGATACTGGGCGGCGTTACGCAAATGTCCCCCGCGCAGAACGCAGCCGTGAGATCACGTATCCACGGATCGCGCCCCGGTGTTCAGATCGCGAAAGGCATGTATACGGAGCTACTCGTCGTTCGTGGGAGAAGGAGTGGGGAGGAGACCAAAAGGTACCGATACCGCTCTTCCCCGGAGCTCTCCTGGGCTGCGTTATGACCAGAATTTCGAGGCGAATCCAACGGTGCTGACGAGGGTTTCCAGGAGGCCCCAAAAGCGTGATCTTCCTCTGTAGGAGGAGATGGAGGGAGAAAGGAGGACTGATGAGGACCTTGGACGTCTCTCGGGGGGGGGGGGGGGGGCGCTTTTTCTGGGATGGACGGAACCTCCTTTAGTAAAAAGTGGTTTCGTGAAAACGGTCTCGAGCCCAACCTGGCCGGCGCAGGGCTGGAAGATGACGGCCGCGGCGCCCTCCCGAGAACCGAAGACGACAATTCTATAGAATCGACGTGGCAGGGTGGGGGCTCTGTCCACCTCCGATTTTTGGGGGCTCCCGAGGCCTCTCGAGGCCTCCGGGGAGGGGCCTCGGCAGGCCCGCGGGGTGGGCCCCCGAGGGGGGGGGGAGGGTCGGCGGCGAGCGAGCGATGGGGGGGGAGCGAGGAGGAGAAGGCCCTCGCAGAAGGCGGCGGGACTCCTCAGAAGCCCTCGCGCCTTCTCCCTCCTCCTCCTCCTCCTCCTCCTCCTCCTCCTCCTCCTCCTCCTCTGCCTCGTCCGCTCCCTCCCTCTCCCTTTCCCCTCCCTGTGCCCCCCTCTGCGCAGCGAGCGAGGGGGGGAAGCAAGGAGGAGAAGGCCTTCGCAGAAGGCGGCGGGACTTCTAAGAAGCCCGATCGCCTTCGCGCTCCGGGGCCCAGGATGGCACCCCGGCCTGGCACGGCGGTCGTGCACAGCGCCTTCGGCGTACCGCTGACGCTGATGCCCCGAGAAGGAAGACAGACCGATGTCGACACCCTGCCTCGGCGGCGAGCGAGGGGGGCAAAAGCGAGAAGGAGAAGGCCTTCGCAGAAGCCCGCGGCGCCTTCTGAGAAGTGTTCTGTTAGACAAGCGCATTCCACTACTCGCAAAGTAGCTACTCGCAGATGGCCTGGACCCGCCGCGGGGGATCTACGATACATTACATCACGGCAAACACATGTTTTTTGTCGGACGCTTGCGAGTATGCACTTTGCGAGTAGTGGGACGTGCTCGGTGATCTGCATACTTGGGGAAGGCTCAGAAAACTTGTCAGAAGGCCGGGGGCCGGGGGACTTCTGAGCCTTCTGGGAAGGCCCGCCCCTTCTCACTCCCCCCCTCGCTCGCCGCCGAGAAGGGGGGGGCAGACTCGTGTGGGCGGCGGTCTGGCCAGGCACACGGCCCCGAAGGTCTGCCCATCGGAACTTCTTGCGTCGCAGCACGGCAGAGGCAATCCGCACGGGCGCTCGAGTTGTCGGGGACGCGCGACGAATTGTCCGGCTGCAAGAGAGGGCGCGCGGGAGGAGAAGCGGCCGCAGAGGACTGGAGGGAGGATGTGCCCATCGGAACATGGAGATTTGATTCTATCAGTCCCAGAGTAGCAGTCGTTACTCAGGGGGAGGATGGCCAGGGTAACGGTCACCCTTGGGCCGTGTGGGGCACTTCGGGGCGGAGCATTCTGACGTGGACGCGAGGAGGAGGAGGACGAGAGGATGGAGGGCGAGGAGGACGAACAGGGAGCGGGGGGCAGAGCGGGAAAACGGCCTCGAGACTTCCGCCCCCGAATCTCCCGCTATCCTGGTGTGGGGGGAGGGGGCGGGAGGCACGACGAGGGCGGAGGATCCTGGTGTGGGGGGAAGGGGGGCGGGGGGCAAGACGAGGGCGGAGGAGCCCCTTTTCACGCCCTAACCTCAGCCATGGGCGGGCCCCAAGCGCCACGGGGCCTCGAAACAGCGTCAGCGTGGCAACCGGCTGGCTGCAGCGGTAACGGCTCGGGCCCCGGGCAGGCGCGATGAGGTCCACCCGTCCACCCACCCGCGCATGCCTCGACCCGTACGTCGAGGCCGCCGTCCTCCCGGAAGTTAGGCTTCCACGTGAGCATCGGCTCCATTGGTAGGGTGTTGTTCTTCATCATTCCCCCCGCATGCACGCGTCTGCGAACGCGGCGGAAGCCACGTGGCTCGGAGTAGGAGGGGAGGGAGGGGGAGAGGGAGGGAGGGCGAAGCACGGCGCAGCAGCTCATCCCAGAGCTGCCGGCTCTGACACAGCTGCTCACTGAGCCTCTCGGTCTGCTAAATTCGCCGGCCCAACGGGCCAGAGGCGTGCTAATATCTCCGGTAACTTGTTAACAATATTTCTAGTTCGCGCGCGCGGAGCGGCCCCTGGGGGCCCCCGGACGAAAAGTACCCCGGCAAGGTCCCGAGAGAAGCCCGGGAGAAGCCACCAGACCACTCCAGGGGAGGGTATTTTTCGACACCCCTCACGAGGATCGTGGCCTCCGAGGGGGGAGCCGCAATCGACTACCCCCAAGAGCCCCCCAAGAGGCCCTGGGGGCCTCCAAAACGCCGCCAAGGAGCCCCAAGAGACTCCCAAGAGGTCCCCAAGAGGCCCCCAAGAGGCCCTAAAGAGGGCTCCAGGGCCGGCGGCATGAGCGAAGCGATTAAATAAACCCGGAACGGTGATGAAAATGCCGTCCCTGAATCGAGATGCGTCAAAGGGAGCAAGAGGTGGTCTCACCGTTGCATTCCACAGAAGTGTTCGCGAAGACGGAGGGGAACGAAGAAGATAGGCGATCGCAAGACGGCCCCAGAAAGTGATGTGGGAATCGGACAATACGTAGCAGGCCTCGGAATGGCATCATGTAAGAGCGGTCGCGCGCAAGTGTACCCAACGATGGCTTCCAGCAGTCCTCCATCTGCCTGCCCCTCTTTGTCCTCCTCCCCCTGCTTTCTCGTCCTCCTCCTCACTAACCCTCCCCGCCTTCGGGGCCCATTCTGCTCCGCCTTCCCCACCAAACCACTCATCACCCACTCTGCCACTTGAGTGTGCACTTCACACGCTTAAACGCATCCCCACTCGCCCGCTCACTCACCCTCTCGGTCATCTATCTACTGCCCTTCTCTCTCTCTGACTCCCCCTCTACCTCTCAACCTCTCTCCCTCTCTCCTTGTCCAAACACACACACACCCATACATCCAATCCCTTCCGTAGGGCCCGCGCGGCGGCTCAAGCGAATACCATGGCAAAAGAGGGGGCGCGTCCATCATCGTCGTCATGATGACATGCTCCTCCGCTCTCCTTCCTACGCCTGCCGCTGCTTTCCCTACGCCCCTCCCTCGCCCATTCCTTCTCCTTGACAACAGGAAGGTTCCTGTCGCACCCCGAGGCGTGTCGGCAGGGCGGGCCGGCCTTCCGCCTGAGACCTCCTTACCA